AATCATTCAAAACATGATACTGTAGGCGTCGTTTGAAGTGCGCCTACATTAAGCATGTTGTGAATATGCTTGGCACTCTTAGGAAGTGGGAATTGACATAATACGATTAGGGACAAGGAAAGTAGGGAGCTGCCAACAAGTTTTTAAGGAACTTGTAAACCGTTCACGGATCATTATAAGGCAACCACGAGAAAGGGACAACAATAGGCAACAACGTTTTGCCCGTGAAGGTTACACCCCATACATAATCCATGAGATTACTAACTCCATATGGTTCGAAACCACGAAAGGAGGATCGGGGATGATGGTACGAAGTGAGTCATGGAGTCACATTCGCCCGTATTGGCCTCTACTCGATTCTTATAGTGAAAAGTGATTCCTGCGATCTCAAAGGAATGCAAAAAAAAATTCAATTTGCTCCAAACTATTATTAGGCTAAATTGGTTGAATATTAATGCAACATATAATTCTAAAATATCGTGATCAGTTCAATTAATAACAAGATTAAAAAGGAACCAAAACCGGTCGTCCAAATTATCTTATTAGGCGTGATTTTCAATTAAATATTCCCTTTAACATGCAATATGGTGATCAATAATATCAATAGAATAAACATTAATATTGGAAGCATTTCAACAATAATAGCGTTAGTCAAATCAAATAAACCTAATCATGATACTAGCAATAAGAATAAAAATAAGAGTAATTAAGTGATTAATTACTCACTTTCCGCGTTTTCTTGAATTTCTACATCATGAATAAAATGTTAGTAACTTCAATTAAATTATAAATCAAATTGAAATTAAATTAAATTAGAGTTGATTTGGTCCAATCCCTCAGTTAATTATACCTTTCACGCCTTGTTTAAAGTATAGAACTTTGGGTATTGTATGAACTCCTTGGAGTGCTTAAGGAAGGAATGAAAAAAAATAGGGAGGCTAGTGTTTAGGCTAAAGAGGGAGAAGAGAATTATTTTGTGATCAAGCTTCTTGATGATTGAAAAAGGGGAGATATTACCTCTATTTATAGAGAAAAAAGAAGGGTCGAATAAAACAAGATAAGATCCGAATTAAATCGGAATAAAACTCGATAGACAACAATTTTTGCAGTTTTTGTTTTTATCATATCTTTTGATCCAGAAATCGGAATAAGATAAATAATATGTCTTTGGAAAGCTCTTGAATTCTACTTTCTAACCCAATTATAATTAGATTAAAATCTCTTGTAAAATAAAAGATATGGACGAAATAGTGGGACGGTGTCAGTTTTGGATAAAGTTTGATATTTAATTCATATATTTTTCGTTATATCTCGGAATTGATATTATAATATATCATTGGAAAGATAATTTCACGGGCTATCCAACCATATAATATTTGGATAAAAAATATGAGGCACGAAAATAATATCTGTCTATTTTTGAACGTCTTTCAATTCGGAGAGAATTAGGACTTTCAAAAAGAAAAAGTTTTATTCAATTTCAAACTTTTTAATTTTATCTTTTCAAAAATGAAAATTAAGATCTTTTAGAAGCTTATAGAAGTTTTCAATTAGTCCTAATTTGTTTAGGAATGGAATTAAATCCTTTGGACCCTCCACATGATCATTGGGTCGTAGGTAAGGTGGGCTTAGGTTCGGTTTGGGCTCAGTTTAATATTTTGGCCATAACTTATTCGTCATAACTCGGATTTGGGCTTATAATATATCATTGGAAAGCTCTTTTAAATCCCCATCCAATTATTCAATCATTGGACCCATATTATGGACCAATATAAATTGGAATAAACGTTTTTATAAAAAGGACACGAAATGAATTATTTTGGGTTTAGAGGCATGAAAAGAGGAAAATAAGTGACGATTTGGGGAAATGGGCTAGGAATTGATTTTTTTATGAAATATATATATGGATTTAAGCACTCCAAAGATTAAATACCCAACCCGACCAATAATGGCGGTGAAAGGTTGTTCATCATCGGGTTTGGTTTTGGGGAGACATTTTTAGGTGTCTACAGATATAAAATTAATGCCTCAATTTAATTATTAAAACCAATCATTTAAACATACTTTTATTTCATAAATCATAATTCAATTCAATTTAATTCAAACATCACAAAATCATTCAAACATGCTTATTCAACCAATCACTTTCAAGGTATCTAGCCACCTAACGTACCTTGATCCTTGCTTAGCCAAAACACTTCAAAAGAACCCTCAAGTAGTTTGATCAAAAACACCCTACAAATAAATATAACCTTAATTAATATAAGGTTAACAAATAATCACAAATAATTAAATTAAAACCTCCCAACTATATGTACATAAACCTTAAAAATTATTTTCTCAAAAACATAATTAAAATCTGATTTTTATTTAATTAAAACCATTTATTATAATTTTATAAATTCTCCATAATATAAATAATTAATTAAATAAGAGAAAATGAGAAAAGAAAATAAAAACCGAAGAAGAGAAGAGCAAAGAAGCGGCGACAGCAGGTGCCTACCGCGGCTAGTGGTGGTCGGAGGCGGCAGTTGGCGGCAGCAGGTGGCACCGGGAGTGGTGGATGGAGGTGGTGCTCAGTGGTGGCACAAGGGAGGAGAAAGAAAATAAAGAAAAGGAGAAAAGAGAAGAAAAGAAAATGATGAGAGAATTTGAGAGAAAATTATGAGAATTGTGTGAGTGTTTACTAATGATTTAAAGGGGTATTTATAGGCTAGCATGTATATGAATTATGTTAGGAAAATGTAGGAAAATTATGGTAAGAAGAATTAAGGAATTACTTGGAGAAGTGAATAAATAAATATGGAAAGTTTTGATATTAAAGAGATTTGAGGATAATAAAAATATGGAAGGTGTGTAGTCATGAAAAATAATAAGGTAAGAGGGATTACTTGGAGAATAATCAAGGAGGATATAAGGTAGGAAAATAAGATGGCCAAATATTTAAGAGATGGAAAAATAGAATTAAGGAAAATAAGAGATTTTAAGGAGATAATTAAAAAAAATAAAAATTACCAAAACAATTTTCCGAAAATCCACTTGGGGTAGCCGAAAATTTTGAGCTTTCCTAAGCTCATATTTCGGCCCTCCTCTTTAGTATTTAGGAAATTATGTTGCTAGTTTTAAGGAATTAAAAATAATTGTGTAAATAATATTTATTGTATAAAATAATTAATTAATAAAATTCCAACTATTCACCAAATAATTTAACTAATAAAATCATATTTGCACACTAGAAAATCCGAAATTATAGTCAATTAAATGTGATTTTCGGACCTTATTAAAATAATCATAAAATATAGCTTTTGTATTAATCAAAATATCCAAAATATATAAATAATCCGGTTTTTTAAATAAGATAAATGGATAATAAATCTTATCCAAAATAATGATTAGCTTTCAAAAATACTTTTGGCGCCAAAATTCAAATATTATTTTGGCTCCAAATAATAATTTTACTAAAATACCCTTTTATAAAATAATTTTTAATTAATTAATTAGGAAAATACGTATGAAAATACAGGGTATTACATTAAGTCTTTATACAGATTATCTCCTCCAAGGTGAACTGAATATGGTGTGTTATGGAACTCCTCCATGATTTTTCTATTTATATCCTCACACTTCTGTGGTATGCACCATCTCTCCTTATATCTCAGACTCCCATCTTCGTGAATCTTGAATTCAGTCTCCGCACCACTAGTTACTCGATCCCTGATCTTCTGAAACGACTCATCTTCCAACTGCTTCTCTTTAATCTCCTCAAATATGGATGGTTGGATTGTCAAAGCACTTAGTAATCCCTCTAACTCTCCTTGGTTAACAACCTCAAGGTTTTAATCCGAATTACTTTCACCCCTACCTCACACAAATCATTGGCCACAATCAAAGCATTGACATTATGACTCGATTTTCTGCTTAGGGCATCTGCAACAACATTCGCCTTTCCCTCGTGATACTAGATGTGGACATGGTAGTCTGTGAAAAACTCTAGCCATCTACGTTGCCGCATATTAAAGTGATCTTGGGTGAAGATGTACTTCAGACTCTTATGGTATGTGAAGATCTTACAAGAGACACCATAAAGGTAGTGTCTCCAAATCTTCAAGGCGAACACAACAGTTGCAAGTTCCAAGTCGTGCTTTGGGTAATTGACCTCATGTGACTTCAGTTGTCTCGATGCATACTCGATCACCCTTCCATTCTGTTGCAGGACACATCCCAAACCATGCTTCAAGGAATCATTATATACTTCGAATCTGTCTCTCCCATCGGGCAATACTAACACTGGTGCAGTGGTCAATCGCTCTTTGAGGGTTTGAAAAGCTGATTCACAATTCTTGTTCCACTCAAACTTGCTCTGCTTCTTTAGAAGGGTAGTCATGGGTCTGGCTATCTTCGAAAAGTCTTTAACAAACCACCTATAATACCCAGCTAATCCCAAGAAACTACAAACATCAGTCACATTCTTAGGTGTAGGCCACTCACTATCCGCTTTGATGTTCGCATGATCCACAGATACACCCTCTTTCGAAATGTAATGCCCCAAAAATGCAACTTTCTCCAACCAGAACTCACACTTAGAAAACTTAGCATACAACTTGTTCTTCCTAAGAGTTTCAAGGGTAGTTCTCAAGTGCTGAGCGTGTTCATCCTCATTCCTCAAATACACCAATATGTCATCAATGAACACAACTACAAATTTATCCAAGTACTCATGAAACACCTGGTTCATCAAGTCCATGAATATGGCAGGTGCATTGGTTAACCCAAAAGGCATGACTGTAAACTCGTAATGCCCATAACGAGTCCAAAAGGCTGTCTTTGGGATGTCTTTGTCCGCAACTTTCAACTAATGGTGCCCCGACCTCAAATCGATTTTTGAAAACACACTTGCTCCTTTAAGCTAATCAAAAAAGTCATCTATCCTAGGTAAAGGGTACTTATTCTTCACAATCACATTATTCAACTCTCTGTAATCAATACATAGCCTCAAACTCCTATCCTTCTTTTTCACAAATAAACACAGGTGCTCCCCAAGGTGATGCACTAGGCCTAATGAACCCCTTGTCCAACAACTCCTGTAATTGAGCCTTTAGCTCGCTCATCTCGGCTGGTGCCATTCTATGAGGTGCTTTCAAGATAGGTGCAGCTCCTGGAACTAAGTCAATGATAAATTCAACTTCTCTTTTGGGTGGCATTCCTAAGATCTCTTTTGGAAAGACATCTAAGAACTCATTCATAATGGATACATCCTCCATCCGACTAATCTCACTCATATTCAAATCTTGAACACAAAAAAAAAGTACAACGAACACCCCTTATTCACTAGCTTCTTAACCTTCAAAGCAGAAATAATCCTACAACCCTTAGGCTTCCCTAAACGTCTATAAGACACTGACTTACCCAAAGGATCACTCAGGTGCACCCTCTGTATCTCACAATCTATCTTGGCCCTGTATAAACTTAGTCAATCCATCCCCAGAATTACATCTAAGTCCCCTAGATTAAACTCAATAAGATTCGATGGAAAGATAGCTTTCCCTATTTTCAAAGGCAAGACTTTGAATATTTTATTACAATGAACAAGTTTGCTTGTAGGCAGACTGACTGACACATCAACATGAATCATTCAATTATGTTTAACTTGCAAACAACAGAAGTAGAAATGAAATAGTAAGCTACTCCAGAGTCAAACAAAGTGTTGACAGAGACAGAATGAATAGAAAAAGTACAAGTGACTACATCCGAGGACCTCTTAGCTTCTCCCTTGCTCATCACAGACAAGAGCCCGGAGTTTTGCTTCTTCCTTGGTAACCATTTTTGTTGTTTCCTGAGTTGTTGTTGTCATTGCCAGATCTGTTGTTATTGTTTTTACCATTCCCAAACTTCCCATTCTGACCATTTCCCTTATTCCCCTGGTTGTTGAAATTTTTAGGCCTCTGTTGGGTATTCCTGCCATTCCCACCATTTCCCTGTTGTTTCTGATTGGTGTAACACTCATATTCCTTGTGCCCCTTTTTGTTGCAGAACCAGCAAGTCACCAAATTCCCATCACAGTATCTCCCAGGGTGGTTTCTCCTACACCTCTTACAGTGGTAGCTCCTCTCTCCATTGTTAGCATTATTATAATTGCTAACATTTTGGCTACCCCTATCAAACGAGTTCCTATTCCTAGGCCTCTTAAAGTTACTCTGGTTCTCAGATTTCTCAAAGTCTAACCTTTTTTCCCTATCCTTAGCCTTCTCACCTATATCCTTAGAGTTTAGATGGTATAGGTGTGCAACCCTCTCATATACCTTATCTAGTGTCTTAAAAACCTTCCCAGCTAGATCTTTCTATAACTGCTTGGTCAACCCCTGCTGAAACCTCCGAGCCTTCAGTTCCTCATTCGGCACAACCTCAGGAGCGAACCTAGCAAGGGTCATAAACTTATTATAATACTTAGAGATTGACATATCCTTCATTGCTAAACTTATAAACTCTTTGTAATACCCCGTATTTTCATACGTATTTTCTAATTAATCAATTAGGAATTATTTTATAAAAAGGGTATTTTAGTAAATTAATTATTTGGAGTCAAAATAATATTTGAATTTTTGCGCCAAAAGTAAAATTTTAAGTAATGGAGCACGGTGAGGTGACTAGGATGTTGAATGCCTTGGTGATTCAACCATCAATATATGATGAGATAAGGGAAAGTCAATTGGAAGATGAGAAGTTAAAAGCAATTAAGAAGAAGATTGATGAAGGACAAGTGTTGTATTTCACCATTGGTGATGAGGGAAGTATTCGTTTTAATGGAAGATGGTGTGTACCATAGAATCGTGGAGATCTGAAACAAAGATTAATGGAAGAAGCCCATAATTTTCCTTATTCAATGCATCCTGGAGGGGATAAGTTGTACAAGGACATGAAGAAGACTTTTTGGTGGCCTAATATGAAGAGAGAAGTGGTTGAATTTGTGGCTAAGTGTTTGACATGTCAGAAGGTGAAGATTGAGCATCACAGGCCCTAAGGAAATGTCTAATCCTTGGAGGTGCCCAAGTGGAAATGGGATTCGATTTCTATGGATTTTGTGGGAGCTTTGCCAAAGACCAAGGCAGGGAATGACATTATTTGGGTAATAGTGAACAGGTTGACGAAGTTTGCAGCATTCATACCCATGAGAAGTACTTAGACTATGGATCAGTTGGGAAGAGCTAATGTGAAGTTTGTGGTAAAGTACCATGGGGTACCCACGGATATCATTTTGGATAGAGATTCAAGATTTTTGTCTAACTTTTAAAAAAGTTTCGAAAGGAAATGGGGACGAAGTTGTTAATGAGCATAACATTTCACTCAGCAATAGATGGTCAAACAAAAAGAACGATTCAGACATTGGAGGACATGTAAGAGCTTGTGTGATGGAGTATCAAGGGTCTTGGGAGGACCACTTGGATTTGATAGAGTTCTATTACAACAACAGTTACCATGCAAGCATTAGAATGGCACCGTTTGAAGCATTGTATGGTCGAAAGTGTAGAAGCCTAGTGTGTTGGAATGATATAAGTGAGACTATGGTTCTTGGACCAGAGATGATTGAAGATATGGTGAAACAGGTTAAGTTGATTCAGGAAAAGATTAAAGCAGCCTAAGATCGACAGAATAGCTATGCTGATTTGAAAAGGAGGGAGGAAGAATATGAAGTAGGAGAGAAGGTTTTGTTGAAGATTTCACCCATGAAAGGTGTGATGAGGTTCGAGAAGAAAGGGAAATTGATCTCGAAGTACATAGGGCCTTATGAGATCATCTAGAAAGTGGGAAAAGTGGCTTATAAGTTGGATTTGCCTAACGAGCTTGAAAGGGTTCACAATGTGTTCCATGTGAGCCAAATTCGAAAGTATATTCCGGATGTGACACATGTATTGCAACCAAAAACTATTGAGATGGATGAGAATTTGACTTACGAGGAAAGACCAGTGAAGATTCTTGACTCTAAAGTCAGGAGCACAAGGAACAAGGATTTGAGTATTGTGAAAGTGTTGTGGTCAAATCAGAAAACTGAGGAGGCTACATGGGAAGTTGAGACTAATATGAGGAAACGATACCCAGAGTTGTTTGCCTAAGGTTAGTGGTCGTGTTACGGGGGAGTAACTCCTTTTAAGGGGGGTAGAGGGCGATATAGTTTCGCGCCTTTACTTTTTGAGTCATTTTTGAGTGATTTCGAGTCTTACTTGAGTTTGGTTGGAGTCTTGAATCAAGTTAGGATGTGCATGAACCAATAATTTCAAAATGATTTTCGTTTCTTTTGGCTAAGTTTCGCGTCGAAACTTATTTTAAGGGGGGTAGACTGTAATACCCCGTATTTTCATACGTATTTTCTAATTAATTAATTAGGAATTATTTTATAAAAAGGGCATTTTAGTAAATTAATTATTTGGAGCCAAAATAATATTTGAATTTTGGCGCCAATAGTATTTTGAAAACTAATCATATTTTGGATAAGATATATTATCCATTTATCTTATTTTAAAAACCGGATTATTTACAAATTTAGGACATTTTAATTAAAGCAAAATAATATTTTATTAATTAATTGTTATGGCCGAAAATTCCCAATAATGAGTTAAGGAATTTTGGATTTTCCATGAATGGAAAATCTGATTTTCTTGTTATTTATTGGTAAATAATTGGTATTTAATTAATTAATTATTTAATTATATTATTTATACAATTATTTTATTCCTTAAAAACTAAGCAAAATCTTCCTAAATATATCTAGAGGATTCCGAAATTTTGAGCTATGGTAGGCTCAATATTTTCGGCCCTCTTGAATTATTTTGGGGGAATTTATTTGGTAAAATTGTATTTTTAATTATCTCCCAAAATCTCTTATTTTGCTTAATTCTATTTATCCATCTTTTTAATATCTAATCATCATATTTTCTTTCCATTCATTCTTCTTAATTATTCCCCAAGTAATTCTAATTTCCTTATTATTTTTCATGACATACATACCTTCCATATTTAGTTGTACACAATCACCTTAATATCCAAACTTTCCTTAATTCTTTTACTCACTTCTCTAAGTAATCCCTTAAACTCTACTTACCATAATTCTTCCTACATTTTCTTACCATAAATCATGCTTACACTAGCCTATAAATACCCCTTCAATTCATGATCAAACCTCACACAAATTCTCATAATTCTCTCACAAATTCTCTAATTAATTTTCTTACTCTTTTCTTTTTCTCCTTGCACACCACCACCTCCACCTTCCGGCCGCCCTCCACCTTCCGGAACCACCTACTGCCACCGGCAACCCTTGCCGCCACCTCCTCCCTTTTCTTCTCCTTGGTTTCTTATCTTTTCTTCTTCTTTTCTCTTATTCAATTAATTATAATTATTATGGGGAAATTTATAAAAAAAAATTATTATGAGTAGTTTTAAATATATAAAATCAGATTTTTAATAATGTTTATGATAAATTAATTTAAAAGGTTCATGTACATATAATTGGGAGGTTTTTAGTTTAATTATTGTGATTATTTGTTAACCTTATATTAATTAAGGTTATAGGGTGTGTTCGAACAAGAATCTTAAGGTTCCGTTTGTGTGTTTTAATAAGCAAGGATCAAGGTACGTTAGGTGGTTATCTACCTTGAAAAATATTGATTTGAATGAGCATGTTTAAATGATTTCTTGTGATGATTGAATTAAATTGAATTGAATTATGATTATGAAATAAAAGTATGTTTAAATAAATTGGTTATAATAAATAAATTGGAGTATTGATTTTATATCATGTTATAAATGAATTAATTATTATTCATGTTTAAAAGGGTTTTATTTTGAAAGCATGTGGAATTAAATAAAAAGGAGTTTGAATTATTATTAAAAGTTTGAGGTATTGGATTTAAAGAGGATTTATTGAATTATTATTATTATTAAAGCTTTATAAGCATGTTAGTAATCCCACTATGCGGATTTGATTTATTTGATAAGACTTTGGACTTTGTATGACCGAGTCTTTCCTCAAGAATAGTCTTGTAACATAAGGAGACTAGTTTGGGGGTGTTCACACTTGGGAGAGGAATTGGTTTTGAGTAATTGGAATTGGTTTTGAAGGAATTGGATTTTTTATGATGAATTGGTTTTATTGAATTTGACTATTGATTATTATTATTGGAATTGGTTTTGGAATCTTGAGTTGGAATTATTGATTTAATTATTGGAATGGATGGAATTGATTTCAAAAGCATGTTTATGAATAAATTGAGTTTAATTATCTCACACTTATCGTACTTAGCATATTTTGCTAATCAGTATTTCTTATTTTGTTTTGGTTCGCCCTATTTACCTTAATGGTAAGAAATGTTGACTAATTTCAGGTGAAGTCATAAATGAGCATTTGGAGTCCCGGGAATGGTTCACCTAGATTAGGATATGTTGGTTCTTGTATTTATTTTTGAGTACTCATGACAATGGTTACTATTTTTAGTCTATTATTAAATAAAGAAGAGTTTTAAAGTTTCCGCTACAAAGTATTGGTTTATTTGGTAAGTTTGAGTAGCCTTGCGTAATCACGCGGCGGTAATACGCCTAAGTCTATCTCTACGGTATAATTATACGTATTATACTAGTATTTCTGTAGAGGGAGATTTGGGGGTATTACACTCTTGAGCCTTCTGTTTCTTCAGGAATGAAGGGTAAAACTTGTCCCTTAAAGAGGTCTTAAACACTTCCCATCTAAAGTTGGGTTTGGCTCTAATGGTCACATCATGGTCCTTCACCAAATATCGGCCTCGTCCTTAAGGTACATAGCGGCCTGGTCCACTTTCATACCCTCAGGACAATTGAGTGCCACGAACAGTTTGTCGAACTCTCAAATCCAGCTTTGTAGGAAGGTAGGGTCAGCACCTCCCTTAAAAACTGGTGGCCTAACTTGGGTCAGCTTCTTTAACATCTCTGCTTGGGGGTCGACTTGGTCTCCCCGATTTTGGTTCATATTTTCAGCCAATAAACAAATAGCATCAGCTAAGGTAGCGTTTTCAGCCATTCTAGTTCTACATCTAAAAGAGAATAAATATGCACTCCATTTTAAATGAAATTCAAATACTTTTCACACATATTCATTCAATCACAATATTACATTTTGCAACATAAATTGGTTCAAAAGGGTATCTTGGGTTTGCACCCCCTTTTCCCAAGCAAAATCATATAATATAAACACGATTTATACGCGGAAAATAATTCCCATCCCGCGCCACTCTTACTAAACTTAATTATAGACAAAGAAATTTTCCCAAAATTATACGTTCATGAAAATTTAACTTGTTCTTACTTATGAATAAAAGTAGAATGAAGCTCTAAAAATAAAATAACAACTCTTATTATAACTTAAATAAAGGTATTAATCCCAAATAATAACTCTGCATCTCTGGCTACTTATTAAAATTCAATAATCTAAATCAAACTATAA